TATATATATATATATATATATATGTGTGTGTGTGTGTGTGTGTGTGTGTATATATATATATATATACAGTATATACATATTATTATTATTATTATTACAAATATATTATATAAATACCCATTTATACCAGAATTGTTATTGTTAACTGAAACTGTTAAAAGTCATTTTCATTAACTGAAATTAAAATAAAATATTAAATTAAAATCTTGGCAACTAACTGAAATAAAAGTTCTAAAATTACTAAAACTAAAACTGGAATAAAATACATTAAAGCTGAATAGAAAATAATAATAATAATAAAAATAATAAAAAAAATGGGAGCACATAACAAAATCACTCAAATTTAAACTAAACTTAATGCTAATTCTAATTATTAATGAATACTATAATAGTAAGTAAATAATACTAAAATAACACTGTTTTATAATGTGGAAAAGATTATTATAAATGTGTATATAATATACATTCATAATATTATATGTGTAAAAGTATTTTTAAAGTAATTACTGTCTTGTGCACTGTATTTTTTTATTGTTGTTGTTTGTATCTTATCTGTGAAAAGAATTAAATAATTAGTATTTAATGTGACCAGTGCTTGGAAAGAAAAATGATGTGTAATATTCTAAAAAAATAATGTCTAATTTAATCAAATTTAACTTCATTTATGTTGTTTTTTACTTCATCTGTTGTCCAGGTGGAGTTTCAGGCCATCGATGGCTCATTTGTGCCGAGTCATCCTATCTTAATGCACATCTCTATCCGCACTGCAGAGACCAATGCTCCTCGAGTCTCATGGAACATGGGTAAGTTAGCGGATTAACTAAAATAGATAATCTTTTAAATGAGAGACTGAGGCTAAACATCTCTATTCTTACAGGGTTGGATCTGCTGGAAGGCCAATCCAGACCAATCACATGGGAGCACCTACAGGTTGTTGATAACGACAAGTTGTCTTCCGAATCACAGATGGCCGCCACAGCATCAGACACAAATTCCCCATCTACATTCTTCCAAAAGATGACACCCCTCCTTTTCTAATCAATAACGTGGCCTTTGAGGTTCAGGAAGGTGGCACAGTTAGGGTGGAGGAGTACATGCTGATGGCCTCAGACTTGGACTCCAGCAACGACTATATTCAATATCAGCTGATTACTTTTCCCAGAGCAGGACAGCTGGTTAAGAAGTCCTCTCCACATGAACCAGGTCAGTTGGATTTAATAGGTTATATTTCTTAAAGATTTTTTAACTCATCTGAGGTGCCTTACATTATATGGTGTCATGTCAACCAGGAGTCCCAGTGAAGAGCTTCTTGCAGAGGGACCTGTTTCAAGGTCTAATTTACTACAAGCACTCAGGGGAGGAAGTGTTTGAGGACTCGTTTGATTTCATCCTCTCAGATGTCCAACAGCCTCCGAATCTATCGGACAGACATGTAAATTTGTATCTGTTTTCATAATGAATTCTGTTTCAGTGTGATTATTTATAACCAAAATATTATTTCTGTACCTCTTCATCCATAGACTGTGGTGATCCATGTGTTTCCAGTGAAGGACCAGTTGCCTGAGGAAGTTTCCGGAACAGTTCGCTCCATCACGGTGAAGGAAACCGAGGTTGTTTACATCACTCAGAGCCATCTGCACTTCAGAGATACAGAGCATTCAGATACTGACCTTATGTATGTGATCATTCATCCCTGCTTTAACCCGAGAAATACCAGGTATGCTTATACATTTCCTCGCTATGACAGTAACAATTTTTATTAATTTTTTTCATTATTATTTTTATTTATAAATATTTAGATGATATAATACATTTATATATTAATATATAGTAAATTAATTTATATTTAAAAATGTGAAATAAAATACTGATCCAAAAATTAAATAAGTAAACATATTATATTTTATTATTATTATTATTAAGAAGAAGAAGAATATCGATCCTTTCATGTATATTTAACTTCTGTTGTAAATTCTTGCAGGTTATCAGATGCAGGCAGGCTGTTTTATACTGACAGCACAAACTCCATGAAAAAAGATGCAATGGTTCCAGTGCTTAAGTCCTTTACTCAGGTCTGAAACATGCACACAAATAGGTTTCCTAAATGTTGTACGTGTTGTACGCTATTGAAATTTGAGTGCAAATAACATGCCTCTTCAGTTAGAAATTGTCTTTTTTGTCTTCCACAGCATGCAGTGAATCACCACAAAGTGGCTTACATGCCTCCAATAGAGGATATTGGCCCTGAACCTCTCTTTGTGCAGTTTGTGTTTTCTGTGAGTGACCAGCAGGGTGGCGCTCTCACAGGTCTCACCTTCAACATCACAGTCATACCTGTTGACAACCAGGCCCCAGAAGTGAGTTTTTAATTGGCCATCAAGAAACGATCCAACAGAGTACCAAAAGATTTAAATTTAAAAAAAATTTTTTTTAATTTCCCAAACCTTCTTTCATAGATGTTCACTAACTTGTTGAGGGTCGAGGAAGCTGGTGGTAGTTTCTTGATGGAGGAGCACCTGCTGGTGCAGGATGTGGACAGCTCAGAAGATCAGCTCAGGGTTCACATGAAGACTCAGCCCCAACATGGAAGACTGGAGCTGCAGGGCACAGCAATGCTAGAGGGAGACAGCTTCAGTTTGCAGGACCTAAAAGCATTGAGGGTCAGGTATGAATATGAAAAACTGTAGTTAAGAGATTATTTTTGTAAGGTTAAAAATTTTGGCTGGAAAATCGTGTCTTAAGAAATATTGATGAGGATGATTTTATGATCTGTAAATTACAATAGATACATTCATGATGACTCTGAGACCCTGAAGGATAGCATTGGTCTTACTATCACAGATGGAATCAACTCTGCATATGGAACGCTTTTAGTTCAGGTAATTTCCTGTTTAAAAAAATAGTATTGATGTTTGGCAAAGGATATTGTATTTCAGTGCAGCATTCCCTTATTAAAATGCATATTTCCTTAGTGCTTTTTATTTGCATTTTTTATTAGATCCTGCCTGTGAACGACGAACCCCCACAGTTAGGCTCCGACTTGAGGGCTGAACTGTCCTGCAAAGAGGGGGGTCAGGTCCATATTACGGTTGAGTATCTCTCTGCTACAGATGTTGACAGCGAGGACACTCGGCTAACATACATGCTTGCCAGAACACCTGCACGTGGGGTGCTGCAGCGAAACGGGGTCACCGTGGACAAGTTCTCCCAGCTGGACATGCTAAATGGGCTCATCTTCTACCTACACACAGGTTATTACCGAGATAGGAGGCTAGTTAGTGAAACTTAATGTCAGTTACTGTAGGCCTGTTTTACACATTCTGCACCTGTGAGTGGGTGTGCCACACATAGTCTTGTGAAAATATACTGAAACTGCACAATAAAATGGTTTATTAAGAATGACAGGCTTTCCGACATAATATTAAATAATGTAGAGAAATACCATCAGCTTGATCTAATAAAATTCAGGCTGATACTGATAAACCAAATTATTTAAATAATTATTAATACTAAATAATAGTCATATGTTTTTAAGTAAAATATACATTTTTAATATTATATTGCATTATATAAGTTATGTAATCTTATATAACATTAGTTTAACTTTTAAAGATAAACTATAAGTGAGCATTAGATGGCGGCAAAAGTAATCTAAATGTACAAATGAAGAAATGAGCATGCACAATTAAAAGAAACAAATAATATTGGCTAATATGGTAACAAAAAATGTCTATAACAATGTACATGTGCATCTCAATAAATTAGAATGTCGTGGAAAAGTTCATTTATTTCAGTAATTCAACTCAAATTGTGAAGCTCGTGTATTAAATAAATTCAATGCACACAGACTGAAGTAGTTTAAGTCTTTGGTTCTTTTAATTGTGATGATTTTGGCTCACATTTAACAAAAACCCACCAACAAATTAGAATATGGTGACATGACAATCAGCTAATCAACTCAAAACACCTACAAAGGTTTCCTGAGCCTTCAAAATGGTCTCTCAGTTTGGTTCACTAGGCTACACAATCAGGGGGAAGACTGCTGATCTGACAGTTATCCAGAAGACAATCATTGACACCCTGCACAAGGAGGGTAAGCCACAAACATTCATTGCCAAAGAAGCTGGCTGTTCACAGAGTGCTGTATCCAAGCATGTTAACAAAAAGTTGAGTGGAAGGAAAAAGTGTGAAAGAAAAAGATGCACAACCAACCGAGAGAACCGCAGCCTTATGAGGATTGTCAAGCAAAATCGATTCAAGAATTTGAGTGAACTTCACAAGGAATGAACTGAGGCTGGGGTCAAGGCATCAAGAGCCACCACACACAGACGTGTCAAGGAATTTGGCTACAGTTGTCGTATTCCTCTTGTTAAGCCACTCCTGAACCACAGACAAAGGAGAAGAAGAACTGGACTATTGCCCAGTGGTCCAAAGTCCTCTTTTCAGATGAGAGCAAGTTTTGTATTTCATTTGGAAACCAAGGTCCTAGAGTCTGGAGGAAGGGTGGAGAAGCTCATAGCCCAAGTTGCTTGAAGTCCAGTGTTAAGTTTCCACAGTCTGTGATGATTTGGGGTGCAATGTCATCTGCTGGTGTTGGTCCATTGTGTTTTTTGAAAACCAACGTCACTGCACCCGTTTACCAAGAAATTTTGGAGCACTTCATGCTTCCTTCTGCTGACCAGCTTTTTGAAAATGATGATTTCCTTTTCCAGCAGGATTTGGCACCTGCCCACACTGCCAAAAGCACCAAAAGTTGGTTAAATGACCATGGTGTTGCTGTGCTTGACTGGCCAGCAAACTCACCAGACCTGAACCCCATAGAGAATCTATGGGGTATTGTCAAGAGGAAAATGAGAAACAAGAGACCAAAAAATGCAGATGAGCTGAAGGCCACTGTCAAAGAAACCTGGGCTTCCATACCACCCCAGCAGTGCCACAAACTGATCACCTCCATGCCACGCCGAACTGAGGCAGTAATTAAAGCAAAAGGAGCCCCTACCAAGTATTGAGCACATGTACAGTAAATGAACATACTTTCCAGAAGGCCAACAATTCACTAAAAATGTTTTTTTATTGGTCTTATGAAGTATTCTAATTTGTTGAGATAGTGAATTGGTGGGTTTTTGTTAAATGTGAGCCAAAATCATCACAATTAAAAGAACCAAAGACTTAAACTACTTCAGTCTGTGTGCACTGAATTTATTTAATACACGAGTTTCACAATTTCAGTTGAATTACTGAAATAAATGAACTTTTCCACGACATTCTAATTTATTGAGATGCACCTGTATATAGTATATAT